ATCCAGGAGCGTGCATGGGCGGTGGAGTGGGCATCCAGGAGCGTGCATGGGCATTTAATGTGGAGGAACAATGATATCCACTATCTAATCAAAATTCAGGGTGTCTCTTTTAAAAAACTTACTATTTTCTTTTATACATATGGGTGTTTTCCCCTGCATGTATGTCTGTGTGTCACATGTGTAAATGGTGCCCACTGTGGCCAGAGAGGGTCTCTGATCCCCTAAAACTGGAGTTAAATATGATTGTGAGTCACTAGGTAGGTGCTGGGAACTGAACCTGGGTCCTCTGCAAGAGCAGCAAGTACACTTAACCACTGAGCCATCTCTCCAGCCCCAGACTGCTTCCTTTTATGTAGGGAAAGTCCAAATCATAAAAACAAGTGACCAGAGTTTTGCAACAGGATGACGGCAGAGGTGGGATTGGACCCCAGGGTCTCGATTACCAGCCCCACATCTGTCCCTTCTGCTCCCTCCCCTGCTCAGAGCAGCGTGCATTCATCAAGCACTGACTGAGCTGATAGGTCTTGCTATTATTTTTAGGAATAAATTTTAACATTGAAAGTTGGGCATGGTGGTCATCAGTTAGATATCCTAACATTCCAAACAGTCCCAGAATGAGGCAAGAGTAGTGTGGTGACGTCGGAAGTCTGTCCCTCAGAGGTGGTGCTGAGCTGGCTCCTCCTTGGGGGGCAGTGTGCTGTGAGAGCTAGTATTCCCGCATTTCCAGACGTACAGTCGTCCTGGACTGGGTGGCTATGCAGTGTCCTTGGCCCTCTGAGGTTCTGAGTGAGGGAGAGGAAGCTGCTCTGGTGTCTATCTTTCTTCTGCCTCAGGCATCCCCCTAATCTAGTTCCTACCCAACAGGGCCTCAGAACTCCCTCAACACCTGCCTGTAGGTGAGCGACAGGTCCTCTGGATGTTCCATGAGTGAGTTAGCTCTGCACACTCATAGGAAGGCAGGAGTGTAAATCCAGTGCTTTACACAGTAAGGATGATAACAGGGAGAATTTCAATGTGGCCATACCCGAACATTTCCCCCGGTGCTTTCGATCGCTGTTACTTGTATACTTACCATTTCCTGCATACTGGGGCCTGCAGGATTCTGCAGGCTTCATCTCCTTGCATCCCACATCTGGGAACTCAGAGGACAGAATGGCTGATGGTTGCCATTTGCAGCAAAACTGAGGCATAGGGATATGAAATGGTCCATCACACAGATGGAGCCAGGAAGAATGCAGATCCCTGGACATCTTGCGGGTTCTAGCCGGTTCACATTAACCTTTTCCTGCAGGACAAAGCCCCGTGGGTCCCTTACCTAAGCATCGTGTGCATCTTGGCCGTCATCGCCTCATTCTGCAGCGGCCCAGGTAGGACACCCTCTTGCGCTGTGCCTGGCCTGGGGGTTTGCGTGGGGCTCAGATATCTCCTTTACTGGTGGGGAACTTAGGGCCCAGGAAAAGCAAAGCCTAATGGTATGGAGGGGGGAAAGGTGTGCTGCAGCTTTAGACCTTACTAAAGTGCAGTAGGCTGCCTTCATTCTGCCCGCAAAAGGCAGATACATGCTAACCAACACACCTGCCGACGTTTATGGCCAAGAGCCCAATAGTGATGAACCTGGGGTGCTGTGTGCCAGGCTTAGGACTGACTTGTGAGGAATCAAAGATAATCAAGGAACATCTGTATCTCGGAGAAGGCGCTGGGTACTGGGGAAGTTCACTGATGATGGTGCCTAGGATGCATGAGTCAGTCCTGATCAGCTGCACTGGAAGAGATTGAGAGTAAACTCCCACGGGGTTCCTGGCAGTCTAAGGAAGGTCACTGTCACTCGGTAGCAGAACTCCCCAGCTGCAGACCCAGCCCCTACCCACCACATTGTACAGTGTCTGCTGACTGTAGCCAGGATGAGCAGAACCCCAGTGAACCCAGTTCTACCACTCCCTAGCCGCACATGAACTGGGAAAGTTTGTTCGTCTTGTTGTGCCTCAGTTTCCCTTCTGTAAGATGGAGTATTCTTGAAAGCCTTGCCATATTCCTGGCCTTGTGACCATGTCCAGCTAGAGCCTCCCTCAGACTGGTGCTGAGTGGCAGGGCACCATCCAACACGGTTGCACACTCTCTCCCCGAGAGGATGTTCACAGCCTTGCTTTGCTTTTTCTCTATGTTGATGGAAAGACTAAATGGTGGGGCCATGGCTCAGTTAGTCATATATTGCCTGGTGTGCAAGGTGATCCCAGGATCTCACAAATCAGTCATGGTGCCTGTTAGATTTCTAGCAAAACAAATGGAATTAAACTTCTGTCTCATCTAGTGTTGCTTATTGTCAACCACCATTGGTGCCTCTTTGTGACTGTTGGATGGAAAGCATTTGTCCCCAACCCAAGTATCAGAGAACTGTGATAATATGGCAGAGGGGCCGTGAAATGGTCAGGGCAACACCGGGCACACCAACACATGCACATATACCCCCACCATGAAGGTGGAGTATTCAGAATGGATGAAGGACAAGGGAGGCATTGTGCAGGCTAGATTCGTGTCCTCTTGACACAAGCTAGAGTTATTTTGGAAGAGGGGATCTCAATTGAGAAAATACCCTCCACCACATTGACCTATGGATAAGCCGTGGTGTATTTTCTTGATTGATAATTCATGTGGGAGAACCCATCCCACCGTGGGAATGGCCTCCCGTGGGCTGCTGGTCTTGGGTGCTATAAGGAGGCAGGCTGAGCAAACCATAAGGAGCAAGCCAGTAAGCAGCGCTCCTCCATGGTCTCTGCATCAGCTCCTGCCTCCAGGTTCCTGTCCTGACTTGATAGAAGGTGGTCTTAGATCTGTAAGGTGAAATTAATACTGTCCTCCCCAAGTTGCTTTTGATCATGGTGTTTTATCACAGCAATAGAAACCCTAACTAAGACAGGTACTTCCTGGCAGTGCCCTGCCAGGAGGAGAAACACCAGTCCAAACTGCAGCAACCTGCAGATTTGAGGCATGGACAGCAGCATCTACAGAGAGCATGCTGTGTGCGAGGCCCTGGGTCTAAACGCTTAGACTCTCACAAAAATACCGTGGGAATGTAATTAGTACGCCAAGACAGCTGCACAGCCTTTCTCTGCCATCTGACGGTGCTCCTGGGTCCACACGTAGCACACGAGGCCTCCAGGAGAGACAGGCAGCTGTTGTCCAGTCACTTACACAGGACGTCACTTCATTTCACATTGGTTGTGGGGGTCTCTGCAAGCACCCACGCCCAGCAGAGTGTCAACACATATGAGGCAAGAAGCAAGCCCCATTCAACAGGACTCAGTAACCAGTGTTCATCCAAACTTCAAGAGTCTGACACCGGGTGGTTAATTTCAGGCATATTTGGGCACAGCACAATTTGGAAAAACATTTCTTGGTGATGATTAACACAATCCTATGGTTACATCAAAGCTCTTGTAAAGCACAAATGACATCATCCATAAAGCTAGGTTCTATAGATTATATAGATAACTGAGACAGCAGGCTTATTGTAAACAAGCTTCATGGTAAGGGTCTGGAGACAGAGAGAAGATTGTTATAGATTGACCGAAATAAACATTAAAATCTGTGGGAGCCCATGAGGCCTGGCCATACAGGCAGCACTGAGGTCAGCAAGTCATTAATCATCTCCCTTCCCAGCCTTCTAGGCAGAAACATCTCTCCCTCTGAAGAGACAACCCTCGTGTTTAACATTTCTGGTTTCCCTAGTGTTTATCTGTGAGCACAAAGACCTCCATGTCTCCTACTACTGATGACCAAGAGCGGCCCCTGATCTCACCTGTGGGCCCCCTGGGCTACCTACTGATACTAGCCCAGGGGGCCTCCCACTATCAGCACTGAACCTACAGGATGCTCTCTTGCCTTCCTGCTCATCAGTGCCATCCTGAGCTGGGATTGGCCTGTTGAGAGAAATGACCAGGTCTTCTGTTTCCTTTTGGTTTCACTCTTCCTATCCCAGGAATAGAAAATGGGTTAGCGGTGAGCCGCCAAGTTCTTTCCTTCCAAACTAGTCTTATCCTCAGTTTACAGACTGAAAGGAAAGCAGTTCAGATTGATGCCTGTCTCACAGAGCTGAGAAAGGATGGGTTTGGACCGTCACCATCTTGTCCTAAGACCCATGATACAGACATGGCTGATGACCATTAGCTGTTTGCTGTAACTAGAGTAGAATTAGGTCCACCCTAAGATGGCCTACAAGGTTAATAACTTCTTGGATGGCTCAGTGGCTAAAGGCGTTTACCACCAAGCCTAAGGATGTGAGTTAGGTCCCTGGGACCCGCATGGTAGAAGGAGAGAACCAACCCCCACAAGTTGCCCTCTGACCTCCACATATGCACCCACACATGCATCCATAAATGTACCAAAAAATATATTTTAAATACTCAGAGGAAAAGAGGCCCACACAGAGGATTCTGGATATGAGGAGGGGGCTTCCACTTCCTTCTTCCCAGGATAAGGTTAACCTCCATCTTCGCAAATCTACCCTGCATACACCTCCACAGGACCCAGTTCTGTCACCCTGTCCCTCTGACAGACCCTCTCAGCTGGAGGTGACTCTGCAGAATGCTGATCTTCATAGCTTCCATCGGTTCCTGCTTCAGGCATCATCTCCACTCAGAAGTCAGGGACGGGCCTTGGGCTCTTAAATTCAGACCCCCCAAGTCATAGCACTTGGTGTTGATGGGAGAGCTTTCACATCTCAGGGTGTGAAACACTCAGCTCCACACTGGTGCCCAGGCTCCCCTCCAGGGAAGTCACCTGCACCCTCCAAGTACAGATAAGCTTTCAGTCCTGACCCATCATCCCCACACCCTGTGTTCACTCAGCAGCCATGCCTCTGCAGCAAGGGATGATCTCAGCCACTAGATGGGCTGCTTCTAGGACCACAATCAACTCACAGTGACAGTGCCCAGCCCAAGGCCTCAGGGAGATTACCTATCTCAGGGAAGTCCAGTCTGCGAGAGCTTTGCCACCTACCAAAGCCTTCAGGGCAAAGTCCAACCCAGGAGGAGCTCTCTAGGACAGAGAGTAATGAGGATGTTGAGGGACAAATGACTGAGAATCCCCCCCAAATGTGGCCTCCCCATAAGGAAATGACAGCAAGCCAGGGACCATCTGGAATTACCCTCCCAGGAGGAGGGAACACCATAGTTTTCCCCAGACAGCTGTCCTGGGCAATCAATTTAAGGAGACCTGACAGGGAATTGAAATTAGACAGAACAAAAGAACACAAGGGCAGCAGTTTCCTGCTACATATTTTATGTGTGCACAGCCCAAAGGCTGCTCAGAGAATCCCATAAACGAGGCAGTTGAAAGCCTTGCTTTGAAGGACAGAAGATCTCTACACTTCATTTCCAGTCTGAAGGCTGTCATGAGGGCCTGACACCTGCAAGGGAATGTGGGCTTAGCGGGGAGGAGAGAGGTACCCAGATGCAGGATGGTCTTTGAGGGCAGGAATTAGGATGGTGATGAGAGCCCCAGATGATGAAGCGGGCCCAATAGAATGTACCAGGTACCTATTAGCACACATCTGGTATGAAAAGGGGTCCCCTCTACTTTTATAATGCCCTGGCCCTGTGCAACCTTTCCTGCAGCAAAACATGACCTGAGGCCTGGGTGAAGGACAGAAACAGGAGCCCTCCGGTTACATAGGCCAGAGTTCCACAGAGGTCCTAACGTCTCAGACGAGCTCTCGTAGATCCCATAGGAGCATCTAGAATAAGGAGATGGAGACAGAGGTAACTGAAACAGGAGAAAGAGAGTACTAGCTGTGCCCTCATAGTATGGACAGAGAAGGAAGAGAAAGGTGCTATTCCTGACCTGGGGAGCCCTTGTGGAGTCAAACCGGGCATTAACCACTTTTCAAGAAGTTTCCAGGGAAGGGTGAGGTCATGACTAATGGGTGCTTCGTGACTTGTATTCTAGACTCATCTGAACGTTGTTCATACATTATCCCCAGTTCTGTGTGTCTGTGAGGCTGGCTCCAGGATCTCGCAATGGGTCAGGTCTAGGCTCTGACCTCTGCCATGAAGCAGTAGATAGATGGGAGGCTGTGTTGATGACGTCAACCACTCTGGGTTAAAATTCAACCAGCAGCTACATGGCCTCAAGCATCTCGTTTTGGGTTAAAGAGCAGAACAAGAACTCTGGCCCTGCCAAAAGATTCCAGCACCACTAGGTTAAGAGCCAATAAATATGAGTCTCCCTGTAGAGTGGCTAGTGTGTGCATGGCTCCAGATAACCCTGCATGATGGAAAATGAGCAGGTGTAGGAACAAATGAGAGACTGAGGGAGGGAGGGAGGGAGGGAGGGAGGGAGGGAGGGAGGGAGGGAGAGAGGGAGCACACAA